CTCCGCGCCCGCGTGCCAGCCCCGGACGCTTCTCCCTTCTCCGGGGGCCCGAGCAGGAGGCCCCTTCCGCTCACGCCCGGTCCCCCGCCTGCCTGCCCGCGCCCTGGGGACGCATCAGGCCGGCCGGGAAGTGTCACCGCCGCGCTGCCCTGGCACGCTGCGCGGAGCCTCTGACCCCAGCGAACAGCAGCCAGGGCCTGTGCCTGTGTCCCCCTCCGAGCCAGCCTGGGGCCCCCGGCTCCTCTGCGCTCCTCGGCCCAGCCCGAGCCCGAGCCCGAGCCCGGCTGCAGAGGGCACAGCCTCCTGCGAGCACCCGGCGCCCGCCCGGGAGCAGGACCCGCAGGTGCTGAGCAACAGGGGACCAGCACATGCTCGCTGCAAGTCCCAGCTCCAGTACGGCTGGGCCCTTCCCCTGCTGACCGCTCTGCCCGGGGCCCGGCGCCAGGCAGAGACAAAGGCCCGGCTCCCAAGCCCAGCCGAAGGCCCAGAAACCAGAGCTGGAGCTGACCCCTGGCCTCCGGCCACCAGCAGGGTTCGCCCCGCGTCTGGGCGGAAGCGGGCCCCGGCTGCCCCTAGCGCCTGAGCCGCGTGGGCCTCCAGGGTCACTGGGCCACGGCGCTCGCGCGAGCGGCAGCAAATTGCTCCAGTCGGGGGGCAGCTCTAAGCCGTGCGTCATCCCCCGTGGGAGGAAGTGGTCTGCTGTTTCAATACAAAGTAAAGGCAGGAAAACAGCAGCTATTGTTCTACCATGAGCGCCGGCAACGCAGCCCCGCCAGGCGCCCTGCACGGGCGGAGGGCGAGGGGAGAGCGGGCACGGCGAGCGGTGACGTTGGCAGGCGGCTGGAGAGAGGCGGCTTCGCGAGCCCGGATGCCGGAGAGCCCAGGGAGCGCCGGCGTCTCGCTCCCTCGGTGCAGGCTGGGAGCTGCGCGCACCTGCGCCGCGCTTCCAACGCTCCACACAACTTTGATCCTCGGCAGCTCCATAAATGTTTCATGCCACAAAGCTCGTGGAGGGGCGCGGAAGAGGAGCACTTGGAAGCCAAATTGAACTCTCCAATATTAGGATATTCAAATACGTCTAATCTGCCTGGCGCGCCCCACGTCGCGCGCCCAGACTGCTAATGAGGGGGAGCCGCCTTTCCAGAGGGACGGCGAGTTCAAAATAAAGCAAACAATCGACTGGCGAGAGCCCTTCAAAGCCGTAGCGAAGGGAAGCGATGGGAAGCTAAATGATGGCTGCATGCAAATCCAGCTCAACAAACAAGGCAGCAAGGCAGGCCGCAGACGAGCGAGCAGCCCCCAGAGACTCCTGCAGGCGTGCGCGGTGCGCAGGCGTGCACGCGAGACAGCGCCTCGGCATGTTCGCATCTGTCTGAAGCACACGACAAGCTGAGGACTGAATTTAATTGAAGACCTCATCATTGTCCCCGCTGCTGCCCGGGCTGCGGCAGGGCCCCCGCCGCTCCGTCTCACTCTTGCTGTCGCCACTTCATTTATTGCTCATTTTTTTTAAATGCGGATTTGTGCGGGACGAGCTGAGAGCTGGGCAAGGCCTGCGGCAGGCTCTCGCCGGGGTCAAGCGTGGCCTTTGGCAATAGCAGACACACTAGGGCAGACGGCAAAGGGACAGGCGAGGCCGGGCTGTGCCCTGCGGGACCACACCGGTCCTCCCGGAGCCTTGGCTGTACCAGGATCAGGCCCTGGCCTGGCTTGACCGGAGCTGTGCTGGGAAGCATGGAGCCGAGCGCCCTTCTTCCAGAGCCCGCATCAGCGTTGCTGTGTGATAAAACCAAGAGGCCTCAGCAGCTCTGGCATTGCACCCCTTCGGCTTCCAGCCACGACAGCAAATCCCCAAGCCAGGAGAGCACCCGGGTGTCCCTGGCCAACGGGAGGGTGGGGATGAGCGGCACGAAGCGCTACACACAGGCAAACGCCTCCCCGACCGTCCCCCATCGCCGGCCCGCCGGCTGCGCCCTCTGCACATCACCGCTTGCCGGCAGAGGCTCAGGCCAGGCTGCGGGAAGCCGGGCAGGGGGAGCAGCGGGGCCAGCGCCTGAGCAGCACCGGAGAATAAAGCTCGTCTCCAAGGTCAGAAGCAGCTGCCCGGGTGCCAGAGACGGAGGACACACGTCAGGGCCAGGAGACGGGCTCAGAGGGAGCAGAGAGCGGCCGGGGGCGCTGGGAAGCACGGGTTGGGGCTGGCTTGCGGGAGAGGCTCGGGGTGGGGCGGCTGGGGCTGGGGCAGAGGATGGGGCTGCTGCGGGCTCCCGGCTCTGGACAGGGCTGGCAGGAGCTGGCGGGGCTCTGAGCCCCTGCTCTGCCCCGGGGGCCTGCTCCTGTCCTCTCGGGCTGGGCTGCGATGCCCTCCCCCACCCCAGGCCGAGCCAGTCCTGCCTGACCTCAATCCGGGCTGCAGCTGCCACTAATGCGCATTACGGCCCTGCCCTGCCCTGCCCCGCGCCCGCACTCGCCCAGCCTGATCAGACCCGTGTCCCCAGCCTCACCCCATTTACCTGCAGAGGCCCCCGGCTTTGCCCCCAGGCCTGGGCACAGTGCAGCCGGGGAGGCGCCCAGCCAAGGCATAGTGTGGCCAGAGCCCCCAGCCCCCACCAGGAGCCTAAAGCCCAAGGGCCAGGAAGGGAAAGCCATCTCCTTGCCCTCCTCACGGCACCTGGGGGGAGATGGGCTCGAGAGGCTCAAGAGCCCCCCACCCACACCCCCTCTCGTGATGCCAGGGATAATGGAGCCAGGAGTCCTGGAGCTGGGGGGGGCAGCACAGAGGCT